TAGTAGTAGTCGTTGTAGTCGTCGTAGTAGTAGTAGTAGTAGTAGTAGTAGTAGTAGTAGTAGTCGTAGTAGTCGTAGTAGTAGTAGTAGTAGTAGTAGTAGTAGCAGCACAGCACTCATAGCTGCTGCTGAGACTCGGAGCCTGAGTACTTCTCCAGACGTTGCGTGCCAAATCTGGCAGCAACCAACTCCGAGCCTGTAGCCGTCTAAGCAAAAGCTTTCCTGCCTGTGGCTCCTCCAGTTGGCGAGGCTCCTCCTGGTTGTCAGCGGCCTCATAAACGGCTAACGGCTACGGAGAAACACTACAAAACAAGTAGCTTGAGCTCCCACAAAGTTGGAGGCTCCTCCGAGCCCTGCTCCAGCGGCTTCCTTTTCAGCCACTTGGCATGGAAACAGCAATCGTGAAGATCAGCCTGGGAAAGTCATAGTGAGGTGTGTATCCGCATGTCTGCGACCGTTGTGCGAACCGTTCTCGCTGGAGGTCAAGGGAGCCCTGGGTGTTGCAGCCGTGGGTGCTGCAGTGGCCGCGGGCACGCGCCGCAAGCATCGGTCTGCTCTTGCAGGCTTTGGGGCGTCCGGTCGAGAAGGGCAGTTGGTTGGGCAGGAATTCTCGGGTGCTGTTTACAAAGTTTACTTGTTTCGATTCAGAATGTTGCTGGGATTTTAGTCTGTCTGTCAAGGCATAGCTGTGCACCCCAAAGCCAACAGCGCAGCATGCAAGCGCCAATTAATTAGTCGACTTACATCCAACAGCAGTATCGCAGTGGGCCCAATCTCTTTGCAGGTGCAGCTACCGTGACCAAGCTCTCGAAGACGCGGTCTCTTGCAGATGCGAAGGTTGTCGTATGTGCAGGCGCAATGCTCCCAGAAGCTCAGCTTCAGCCAGAGGGCATGAATGGGGAAGAGGAGTCGTGGTCGTTTGGGTGGTGGGAACGGAGACGAGAAGGAAGGAGAGCGAGGTCCCTTCTGAACGGCTGCTTTTGCCTGAGAGTTGCTCTGTTCGTCTACTTACTCGCTCTCTCGGCATTGCACGCTCCAGAAACCCCGTGATCTGCTCGGCATTATCGTTGACTGTGCAGCGAGGATTGCTGCAAGGAAGGATGTGAGGGCTCCAGAGGCTTCTTTGGCCGGAAGTGTCGCCCCAAAGGTCCCCAGTAGCTGCATGCAAAGGCATCCCAGGAGCGAGCCCGGTGCTGTGGCCGCTCTGTCAACTTTGCATTCGAAGTCGGAGTCGTGTCAGTGGCCCCGCATGCACGTTGCTCTATAATTTGGGCGTGCGCGATCGCTAGTCAAAAGAGACAGAGCTCATGGAGCTTCGTCATTCGTCATAGCGGTGGTGTGTCCGCTTGTTTTGCAGTTGTTCAGAGCCCGTCCGTCCGTTTGCAAGCTGTCGTGCCGTATTGTCTGAAAGAAGCAGCCGGCGGATGCCATCCGAGGAGGGACGCAAGCTGCGTGTGGCCGTCATCGGCGGTGGCCCAGCCGGCGCCAGCACAGCAGATGCCTTGGCCCAGGCACCGCAGGATGTTCAGTAGACGGACAACGAGGGCGCACGTATGGTCTTGTATTGATGCCACACTAGCCCTCCACCCAACTTGCTCTCTCTCTCTCTCTCTGTCTGTGTCTGTCCGTCTCTGTGCCTCAGCGAAGCGCAACTAGATAACTGGGTCTTAATCTTGATGTGGGCTGCAGGAGGGCATCGAGACCTACCTCATCGAGAGGAAGCTGGACAACTGCAAGCCGTGTGGTGGGGCCATCCCTTTGTGTATGATCGAGGACAGGAAAGCATTATAAACGGCAAGCATCTACTCCTCGCGACAGCCGGAGCTCTCCATGCTTAGCAAGGTAAGCCAAATAGGGTTGTCCCAAAGCCGTAGTGCTCTTCTTCTTTCGCAGAGTCTACACATGCGTAAGCTCTCCTGCTGGAGTTGACAGCATGGAGCCTTGGCTTCTCTTTTGCTCTGCACCTCCGAGGAGTTCGACCTCCCAAAGGACATCGTGGACCGCCAGGCCTGCCCGAGAGCTGCCGCTCTGAGGACCTTACGACCAAGAGAAGCCCGCGAGTCTCCAGCCCTCCTCGGAGGTTCGCAAGATGACCATGATCTCTCCTACGAACAAGGAGGCCTGGTAGGGAGTTTGGGGATCTGTTGAGGACCTGCGCTGTGCCTTCGTGCGGTGCATGTTGTGCAGGTGCAGATTGGCCAGACCCTGAAGGACGACGAGTTCATCGGCATGGTGCGCCGCGAGGTGGACTGCAGGGTTCGAGGGCGAGGTCCGTCTGAATTCATGCCTCAGCCGGCCATGAGACATGTCGCCTTGCATGACTCCTCGCAGGGACTTTAAATGACCTGAGCTGGATCGTGGTGAGGTTTCTGTTGTGCAGGTGCTTGACGACTTCCTCCGCCAGAGGGCCAAGACGAACGGCGCCACGCTGATCAACGGCCTCTTCATGGGCATGACGATTCCTCAGAGCAAGGCCAGGCTGCACGGTTTGCAGACGGGGCTTCGTTCTGTCAAGCTTCGGCTTCCTTGAGGTAGAATTCTTTGCCACCGTGACCTACTCGGGGCTTTGTATAAGGTTCAAAACAGTCTCGAAACAGAAAGCAATCGTGTGCCGACGGCCTCAGGAAGAGTCTTATGTGCTGACCTACAACGACTTTGGTGAAGCTGAGGGCAGTGCACGCAGCCAAGCTGAAAAGAACTCGGAGCAACCTCGAGCATGTTTCAAGTCCTGTCAATGGATAAGTTCAGGGCAGGTCTCGAAAGCAGCCTTGCGGTTTTCCTGTTGTGGGCTCCAAACGATGCCAAGACCAGAAGGTTTAATGGAAGATAGGCATAAGGCTGCTTGCTAAGCGGAGTCGGCCGAACGGTCGCGTGCAACGTTCATGACGTAGACATCAGTTCTTGGCTGAGCATTCGTGGCTTGAGGCAAAGGCGAGAAGAAGACCTTGGAAGTGGATGTTCCTTGGCTGCCAGCTGGGCTTCGGTGCGTGCTCCTGGCCAGGTGGAGTTGCAGGATGGTAGGGATGGCGTCCTCTGAGGTCGTGGTCGGAGCTGATGGTGC